TGGCTTTAAAAGGACAGTGAATGAGGAGGTTACTCTTTCTCTCTGCTCTGCCATATTCATCATGTGTACCCTGAGTCTCTGTACTCACTACCAGAACAAGGCCCTCACCAGATGTGTTCCCTAAACCATGGACTTCCCAGCCTCTGAAACTGTAAGCCATAAATATTGTTTCTTTCTAAATTATCCAGTTCCAGGTATTTTGTTAAAAGCAACAGAAACAGACTAATACAAACACCAGGGTCAAGGTGTCAGGTCCCCATAAAAGTCACCCCCATACACACACACAAAAAGTGAAAGAAACACCCACAAAATAGGAGAAAAGTATATACCATATATCTGATACGTTACTTGTGTCCAGAATATGTAAAAAACTCTTACAGCTCAACAACAACAACAAAAAAACCAATTTAAAAATGCACAAAGGACTAGAGTAGACATTTCTCCAAAGAAAATAGAGAAAAGGAAATAAATATGTGAAAAGATGCTGAACATCAATAGTCATCAGGGAGATGGAAATAAAAACAATGAGATAGCACTTCACACCTACTAGGACGGTTATACTTTTTTTTAAAAAATGAAAAGTAGCAAGTGTTGGAAAAGACACGGAGATATTGGAACCCTCATACATCTAGTGGGAATGTGAAATGGGGCAGCCACTGTGAAAAAGACTCTGTGGGTTCCTCAATAACTTAAATACACAATTACCATATGACCAACAGTTATGGAATATACCCTGAAGAACTGAAAACATGTTCAAACAAAAACATGTACACAAATGCCCACAGCATGACTATTTACAACAGGCAAAAAATAGCAACCCAAATGTCCATCAACCGATGAATGATAAACAAAATATGGTATGTTCAGGCAATGGAATATTACTCAGCCATAAATAAAAAGAATGAAGTACTGATACATGCTAAAATGAGGGTGAACCACAAACATGCTACCTAAAGAAGGCAGACACAAAAGGCAACATAACATATGATTCTCTTTACATGGAATATCCAGAAAAGGCAAACCTATAGAGACAGAAAGTAGGTTGGGGTTGCCCAGCGCAGGGGGATGGGAGCATGAGGAATGAATGCTTTCAAGGCACATGAGTCTCTTATGGGGTTGATGAATATTCTGGAACAAGAGAGTGGAGACAGTGCACAACATTGTGAGTGATCTAATGTCACTGAACTGCAGACTTCAAAATGGTAAGTTTTACTTTGTGTGTATTTTACATAATAAAAAGAAATGGTACAGACCCTCTAAAAAACAGTCTGGCACTTCCTCAAATGATTAACCTTACAGTTGCCACAAACTGAAGTAATGCCCTCTTTCTAAGAGCAGGACCGATGCCACTTAAGATAGCCCTTCCATTGTATAAAAGTTAGGTGGGAAAGTGGGGGTGGGACAGGAGGAGCTCTGCTAACTGCAAAATTAGCTCATGTACTGTTGGTTTGCTTGCTTTAGCTAATACCTCTTGGCATGGTGATCGGGCGACTGAGTTGCCAAGCTTGCAGCTTTAAAAACCAAGAACAAAGATGGTTCGGGCTGCACCTTGAATTGGCTGGTGTGGTCCCAGCCGC